TTGCATCACGACAATGCACTAGCTCACACGGCACAGTCCGTGAGGGAGTTTTTAGCCAGTAAACAAATAACTGTATTGGAACACCCTCCCTACTCACCTGATCTGGCCCCCAAAGACTTGTTTCTTTACCTGAAGATAAAGGAAATATTGAAAGGAAGACATTTTGATGACATTCAGGATATCAAGGGTAACACGATGACAGCTCTGAAGGCCATTCCAGAAAAAGAGTTCCAAAATTGTTTCGGAGGGTGGATTAGATGCTGGTGTCGGTGCATAGCTTCCCAAGGGGAGTACTTCGAAGGTGACCATAGTGATATTCAGCAATGAGGTAGGTAGCAGTTTTTCTAGGTTGAGTTTGTGAACTTAATTGTCCAATCTTGGTACGTAGGTAAATATATGACAGTATATATGTATTTTACATTTGTAACTCTTCTTCTAATGTGATTTAAATGGCTGCATAAAGTAGTAATTAATTCTAAAACTATGTTGATGGGCTTATAATATATAAATAATAATATTTATGTGAAAATGGCAGCGCAAAGGAGGGAGGAGGGAATAGAACTGTCTATATTGAAGCAAAATTTTTGTATGTTATTGAAATTAACTTGGTATTACTTCAAATTAGATTATTTTAAGTTCAGGTGTTAATTACACTGCCCAGAGCAACCACTAAGAAAATAAATAAATATGTAAAATTAAAAGCAACAGAGTAGATCTAAAGTTTTGAGTGGCTGGGAGTAAGACAATCATTTAAGACACTGCCATCCTAAAATTCAAGATAGAAAATCTTGGGAAAGGAATTTGTCCTAGCGTGGGTCATGCCCATTACTGTGTTTACAAGAGCGGGGCTCCAAGACTGGCAGACCTCTAGAATTGTATGGAAGAGACAGCAGGTGGCATTTTCCCAAAGGAGATATGGACAGAAAAAAAAAACCCAAAAAACATCGATGACCACTAAATGTGTTAACACTTTGTTAACCAGAATTTTGATTCATCAAAATTATCTATTTAATGTGACTCTGCCAGATCATAATACATAGAAAATTTGTACTATACTATAAACACAAGGATATTTGAGAATGGGGCAATGTAGGTTTAATAGGGAATAGGGTGGTATGTCAAATTCTGGAATAAGTTGTGAAATACTGAAATAGAAGGTTTCCCAAGGAAATTTGAAACTGCAAAATCTATTTTAGTTTCCTAAGTGCTATGTTGACTCTAATTGTATGGCATGTGAAATTAATTTGATGTCAACCTGAATAAGTTGTAGTGGGTTTAAAAAAACAAAGATGAAAGATAAAAGAGAGGTTGGGGAAAGTACTTGCAACAGATACAACATACTCAAGGGCTACTATTCATAACATAAAAAATTTTTTACACTTTGAAAACAAAAAGACCAGTAATTCAGAAAGAAAAATTAACTCAGTATATAAATAAGCAATTTACAGAACATCCAAAGGAGAAAAAGATAAAACATGAGTAGCTTCACTAGTCAGTGAAATACAAATTAAAGGAACAACAAACTCTACTATACACTTATCAGAATGGCTAAAATTATGCAAAGCAAATTGTTACAGTCTTTTAGAAGGGATTCTATTAACATTTTAAATAGACCAATCTCATATCTAGGAATCCATCTTTCAGTAATTAAAGTACCAGAGAATTTGCATACACATATTAGGAGATTTACTGAAACATTAATGGCAGTGGCAATTTTTTAAAAAAGAATCTGAATGTCATGAATAGGGGAAACCTTGAATAAATTTTGGTACATTCAAAACATTATGCAGCCTCTAAAATAAAAGAATGAATTAGAGGGCTGGCTGAGTGACTCAGTTGGTTAAGAGCTTGCTCAAGAGTTTGAGTTCTGAGCAACAGCGGTTTGATTCCCAGCCCCAGCTGAGCTGCCACTGAGCTGCCAACAGGTGGCAGGATGGCTCAGCTAAAAAAAAAATTTTTTTTTAAATTATGAGTTAGAGCAATATCAGTTAAATTGAAAGGTTTGGTTTTTTTTAAAAGATTTTTATTGGGGAATTGGGGGGATGGGAACAGTGCTGGGGAATTGGGGGAAAGGAAACAGACAAGTTGCTGTCGTTTTGTTCTTCAGTCTAGTTGTGGAGGACGTTGCTTCACTGGCCCAAGTTGGCACCATCATTGCGCTCTTCCCAGGCGAGGCAGATCAGTCGCCGGCTTTTGGACGGCCGCTCACGCTGGCTGCTGGCTACACACAGTAGCCCATGGCAACCCACTGCCACAGGGGCTGCAGCCTACACCATCGCCGGCGACTGACGGCAGCCCATCTCCAGGTTGAGCTGTTGTTCAGCATCTTAGCTGTGTAGGGCAGTGTCACTGGCCCTCATATGTGGGATCCGAACCGGGGCCCTCTGGCATCCCAAGCCAGTTCTTAACCATCGCGCCACTCGGCTGGCCCAAGAATTGTTATTACTTAATGAGAAATGCAAGAAGCAGAGAAGTGTATGTACTGATTTTTCATTTTGTAAAATAAATAACAAAAAATACACACACACACACACACACACACACACATATATATATACACACACACACACATATATATATATGGGAAGTTATATTAGCATGCTTAACTTTTTAAATAGTTGAGAGTGAGGAAGAGGAGGGAGAGGGAGACTCAGGTAAGAAAAGTCTGGAAAAGAGGTGTCTGAAGAAAATACAGCATACAAGAAAAGACTGCATGTGTGTATATATGGATGGAAATATGCATGAAGAGATACATGAGAATATGATCACCAAAACATTTACAGTGGTTATTTCAGAGTGTGTGTGTGTGGGGGGGGGAGTATTTCCTCCCTTTTACTTTGATGTATTTGAATTTTTACAATAAGTACACAGCTTATATACAACCCAAGAATGGTTACATATTTTAAAACGTGTGTGTGGCTAATTGCTGTGAGGGATGAAGATGAGTCAGAAACATATCCTGCCTTGCAGGCCCTGACAGTTAATGGGGAGACAAGAGGACACAGTCAGCTGTCATCTAAAGCCAAATTTAGCGAGTGTAGTAACAGAAGCACAGAGTGTTGGGAAAGAGACATTAATTCATCTCGCAGATCTGACTAGGAAGATGGGGAAGAAATTCGTTAAAGGAGAAGGTATTTGAGTTGGATCTTGAAGGCTTGGGAGCAATTCAATAGGTAAAGATGGGGATAAAGAGAAATCCAGGATAAATGACCAGAGTGAGCAAAATAAACAGGGGCATTAGAAAACCAGGGTGTATTCAAAGAATGGCAAGCGGCCTGGCTTAGTATAAATGGAACACAGGTGTTGAGTGGACAGAAGCTTGGAAAGAAAGGTAAGCTGCTTCCGAATTGTGTAAGCAGTCTAGGCTGTATTCCAGCTGCAGAGGGGAGCTAAGCAGGTGTGTGTGTGTAAGGGGTCGGGGGAATGTTTTGTTTGTTTTGTCAGGAGAGTGACATTCTTAGGTCTGTGTTGGGGGTGGGGAGAGACAGAAGGCAAGAAAACCAGTTAGGAAACTATTAAAATGATTCGGCCCAAGGTAATCAAAGTACAAGAGCAGCAACGTGGGAATGCAGAGGAGGGGGGAAACGCCAGAATCATTTCTGAGGTAAACAGGGCAGGCCCTGGCGAAAGATGAAAAACCTTCTGTGCCTGGCTACTGAGGGGTTGGGGATACTCCAATCTGAGAAAGAGAACAGTGGGATTAGAGGTGGGAACCACATTCAAAGAAAGATCTTGCAGAATATAGAGGGGATGGTGAGAATAAAGAGCCCATTGAGAAATCCTGAGGGGTCAGACCATCACAGAGATCAGAACTCCTCAATCTAGAACGACAGAACAGATCTGATTCTGGTCTCTGAGATCAGCTGTTCTAAGGAAAAGATGAACCCACAAACCTTCTTAACTAGAGCAAACCCCGCGTAAGATTAAATCCCCCTTCCCCTCAGTTTCTGCACATTCCCAGTTAAGGGGTCTTGCTATCTAGCATGAGAGCTCTGGAAAGTCTTGGGTAAAATCTCAGACATTAACTCTTACTCTTGGGAAATCCAGCTTTTTGCTCACTGCCTTGAGGCAACCCTTGCTATCCTTATTTCCTCTTATTTTCGTCCTCAGTAGAACCTTTCCGTGAAGAGAATTCTTTTGGGTAACATCGTGCCTACGACATCTAAGAATGTCACTACCGTCCTGTTGGGAGTGGGAGCGGCCGCACGTGGCTTTCCTCTCTTAACCCCTTCGCCAGCCAAGGGTTTCCGCAAGGCAGTCAGGAAAATGTGGGATTTCCTAACCAGCATAAAAATACGTCTGCTATTTTTAAATAAATGAAAATACGAAAAGTCTAAATAGATTCCCAAGACCCTTTCCAGATCTCTCACCCTGTGACTTCTTCAGGGCGTCTTAAACAAAAGGCTCACACATATTTTTAATGGGTGGGCATCTTGTTTGTGGCTTCCTTTTAGCATTCCGGGGGAAAAAAGTAACGTTCTTGTCTTTCTGATTATAAATGAAGCTCAACGTAAAGAATTTGGAAAATCCAGAGAGTATAAAATAAGGACACAAATTGGTAACTTCACCCCAGAAATAAAAAATGAACATTTGCATAGAATCCTTAGAGTCCTGCTGCTGGCCTGTTGGGAACCCGAACCTAAGGCTGGCTCCACGGCCGCGGGGTCCAGCTCTTGGCGCAGCCGCTGGCCTGAAGCCCGGGAAAGGGCGCCGCAGGGAAGCACCCACAGAGGGAGGGTCGGAGCAGGGCGCCCGGAGGCGGGGCTGCCCCCGGGGACTCCGCGGCGGAGCGGGGAGAAAGACGCGCGCGGTTGGAGGAAAGCACGGCGCATCGGTCCGCGGGTCCCTGAGCGGTCCAAGTCGTACCGACGTCTCCCCCGGAGCGCCAGGGCTTCCTACCCCCGCGGGGCACCCCACGCCCGCGCAGACCGCAGGGGCCGGCGCCGCCGTCCCGCCGCCTCCACGCCCCGCGGCCAGCGCGGCGATGGGCGCGGCTCCCGGCCCTGGCCCTGCCCCCGCCCCTCTGCTTCCCATCCAGTCCCGCGAACCCGAGAGAGACCCAGGCATCATGGGCGTCCCGCCTACAGCCGCGAGCTTGGCGATTCTCGGCCGTCGGGGACCTGATAAGGTGAGCAGCGCGCCCTTGAACTTGTCCCCAGCCTGCCTTGTAGGGGCAAGTTCACCCAAGAGTGCAGGGTGGCAGGTAGGGTGGGCTCCCTCACCGGAACAGTGAAGTCCTGAATGCAGAAAGTTTTATTGCACTGCGGTCTGTCCAACTGCCTTGTTCTGGGCTGAGAAGAGTCACCCCAGAGATGAAGCATCCTTGTATCCTGGCAAGCGCCCGTTTGCAACTTAGCTCTCAGAAACTCGGGGCAACTTGTTAGAACTCGGTGTTTGAATGGTATGTATCGAGGTATACATGCGCAATTGCAGGGTACCAACCTTGAAGTTTTTTTTTTTTTTAGAATCGAGTTTTGTTGTTAACATTTCACAATAGAAATATGTGGAGAGAGAAGTCGTGACATGATGATCTCACTGTTCCCTTTGTTGGTTTTCTAGGTAAATGCATTGCATGAGTAATAGGCAAATTATGTCCTAGCCTACAATGAAATGTCTTTCCTGGTGTAGTCCTTTAAACCAGGGTATGGAAGATAACATTGTATTATTGCATCCCTACATAAAAGGAAAGATTTTCAGGTAGGAATCAAAAGCTGGAAACATTGTTGATATAGTTGTATTAGGCAGCAAGGCCTGCAAAGGAAAACGATTTTATTTTTCTCCACCAATGGTGAAATGTAACATAGAAGGCCCCCCTGCAGGGTGGGTAGTGGCCAGGCTTGCAAAACAGTAGCTGCTTCTTCCTTTGCTGCAGTTGGAGCAAAGGGGTGTGGAGGTAAGTGGCTGCAAAAGTGATCATTTATAGTGTAAGGCAGCTTGAGTCTGAAGAATAAAATGCCTTGGCAGACTTTGCTTGAATTAGGGATCTCTTGGGAGGGGGGAGTTGGCTCTCTGATCCCCATTTTGCCAGTATAATTCCACTTCAGGGCCACTGTTGTCTCTGGAGTGCTGCCTGTATTTCCCTTTTCTCTTCTGCCACCAGCTTTTAGCTTCTCTCTGCTCCTCAATAAAGTCTAAAGTTGAGCCTGGTCAGAGGCAGAGTTATGGTAGCCTGGGGATAGAGAACTTCAAGTCTAGTGAAAGCAGAATTGTGGTCTAGGAGAGACCCAGGGGGTAGGTGGGATGAAGCTACTGACTTCCAGCCTAGAAGGCTCTTTAAAGAGTGGGAGAATAATGATTGAGGGAAAGAAATTCTCTGGGAAGGACAATAGATGCTTAACAGTTAGTTTCTTGATGAGGGTTTTTATATTTTGTTGTCCTTTGACCATAAGGGCATTTCCAGATGGGCTTGGGGGAGGGAGTATGAGGACTTTTCTGAAAAGTATGTCCCCCACCATTCACATTTTATTCTACTCCCTTGTAGGTTTTCAAAGAGTAATTGGGGGTAGGGGGAAAGAATAGAGAAGCACAGAGACTCTGCCATGCCACAGAGACCATGGAATGTGGACAGTCTTGGGCAAAGAAGTTGGATTTGAAAATTGAAAGAAATGTTCTACCTTTAGTTAAAAATCAGAGCCTTTATTTTGCAGAAAGGGTGTTGAGAACCACAACATTAATATTTAGTTGCTGATGACTTTTGCTTGATAAATATGTGAATCCCTACCTTTTTTTCCTCCAACATTTTATTATGAAAAATTTCAGACATACAGAAAAGTTACCTACCTCTCTTTTTATCAACTTATAACTATCTTGAGACATAAACTTGTTAATAAAAAAATCAGAGTTTGGAATCCAGACATATGTGATCTGGACCTGGACAGAGCTTGAATCAGAAGGTGGTTAAGAAATAGATGTGTGAAGGATATTAAGATCTTGAGGGGAAAAAATAAGGACTTTATTCTTCTGACTCTTCCCTAAGAATCCTAGGCAATCTCTTAATTGCCTCCTTTTTCCCAGTCTTAAAACTTCAGTTGGATTATATCACTCCGCTGTTTAACACTCTCCAGTGGTTTCCCTTTTACACTTTGAATAAAATCCAACCCTCTTCCCGGGCTTATCCAAGCCCTATATGTTCTGGCCTGTTTGACCTCCTATGCTGCCACGCTCCCCTCCCTTGCTCTTCCCTCTGCCTAAACACTCTTTCCTCGGATACTTGCACTGCTTCTTTCCTCAATTTAGTCAGGTCCCTTTTCAAATGTGACCTCTTCCATCAGGCGTCCCCAGATCCAAAACAGCCCTTTGTCACTCCCTGTTCTCTGACTCTGCTTGGTTTCTTCCTTGCACTTATCATTACCTGGCATTATATAGTATATATGTTTCTTTGTTAGTTGTCTATATGGCCCCCATTCAAATATAAGCTCCGTAAGGACAAGAAATGTTTGTTGTATTCGTGACTGTGTTTCTGTTTGGCATATTGTTTGGCATATTGTAAGCAATTAATAAAGAACCGTTGGATTCATTCGATAAATGACACAAACAAGGCATTGACTCCCATAAGGGTTGCAGAACCCTTGGCAAAACACTAGAAGTCCTTTTAGATAATTCAAATCAATCAATATTTTATAGGTAAATGATGATCCTGGAGACCAGTGGCCTCTTTTATCCTCATGGCGCTTCTGAGCTGAATCCTGTGTTAGAAGCTGGGCCAGTTTTGACAAATACACATCCCAAAAGAGATACAAAAAATTTTAGTCTCAGAAATTTCCCTATGCCCCTTTCTAGTCACCCCGAACATCCAGAAGCAACTTTTATTATGATTTCAGTTATCATAGATTAGTTTTACTTTCCTGAACATCATATACTTGAATTCACATGATATGTACTTTTATGTCTGGCTTCTTTTTGCACAGCATAATGTCTGTGAGATGCATTCATGTTATTAAGTATAGCAGTTATTCATTTCTTTTTATTCCAAGGTAGTATTCCACTGCATGAATCTCTACCATGTGTTTATTCATTTTCTTACTGATGGATACTTGCATTGTTTCCAGCTTGGGATTATTTTATTTTATTTTATTTTTTGAAGATTTTATTGGGGCATTGGGGAAGGGGAACAGCCAAGTTGTTGTCCTTCAATCCTAGCTGTGGAGGGCGCAGCTAGCTCAGCTCCAAGTCCAGTTGCCATCCAGCCACCCGTTGGCAGCTCGTGGCAGCTTGGGACTATTTTAAATAAACCTTCCATTATAGGGTCTGCCTCATGTTGAGCCCTAGGCACTTTATTTGAAAATCTTTTTTGTGCCCCAGTGCTAAGAGAGATGTATGGCAAGGCTGTGAGGGTTGTGACTGGTGTGGCAGCCTGCCTGCAGCCCAGCAAGCACCTTTTCTAGACAGCTCCACTGGGCCCTGACCTACCTCCCACTGCGGAGAGGGAGCACTTGGAAAATGAGTGTCCATGCAAACTGGAAAGCCCTAAGATACACTGTCAGTATTTTTAGATCCTTAAAAGAGACTCTGTAGAATGCCTGCTGCCTTTGCTGTTGTATTCCCCTCCTCCTCCACCCCTGTACAAGTTGACTCTTATCAGCCACTGAGCATTATGCTATCGAAGAGTTTAAATATTTATGAGCAAGAGTCTTGTTCATAGCCTGATAAAATATTTATGTTTCCACAGGGCACTGTTTTCCATCTAGACTTCTCAAGGTGTTTTTCTGAGACACTTGTCATAATCATGAGGTACCCAGACAGAGATAGATGATATGGCCAGAGAACACCCCGTGTTATTGAACCCCACCTTGCAGAGCACCCTGCTTGCTAGGGCTGGAGGAGAATGAGCACACAGAAAAATGGGCATGAATAGTGTCTGGATCAGGAGAAAGGTTGCATGTGCTGTTGAAAATGGATTGGAAAAAGAAGGGCCTGTTAATATAGTACCCCTAAAGCTGTGAATCCAGAGGGGATAGTGAGAAAGAGCTTGTTGGAGTGAGGAGAGATTAATTGAGATGGAATGTGTTAATTACAACTAGAAGAATGAAGAAATCAGCCTTGTAGGGACAACACACAGTTCCTTTGACACTGAGTAGACAAGGCCTATACCAGACAACTATGCTGGGTGCTATAATTATCACACCTGCTATGAAAATATGGGAGAAGTGGTGGAGGTGAGCCAGGGTTTCTAAGTGTGAGGTACAGAGATAGTTATTTCAAGGGGAATTGTTATTTTCCTTTAAAGAAGAAGCACCTTTTGAATCAAGTTCTGAAGGAGGCGTGGCTCTTTGATTGGCAGCTGTGGTGAGGTAGGGCATTTTCTGAAAGAGAATAACTTGAGCAGATATTTGAGTCATGGCCAAAGTGCTAGTGTGGCTTGAGTAAGGGGGAAGGGTCAGGTAAGGACAGGTTTTCAATAAAATAAAACAGGACACCTAAAGGCCAGCTTGTCAAGGACACCAGAGTGTTGACTTTAGTCTGTTTGTTGTGGGGAACCACGTAACTTTTGACCAGAGATTGGGTCAGATTTTGAGCAATTCTTGGGAGGTGCATCCAGCCCAGGCAAGGCCTTGAGATCTGTTCATATCCAAGGTACTTCCAGAATATTCTCCTGTTACCAGTCCAGTCTAGAGACTTTGTACGGTCTAAAGGCAGTAAACAAGAGAGGGGTGAGATTCATTCAGGATACTCCTGGGACTGACCAGAAACAGGCCTTACCAACCACCTTTTTGCCCCCCATAACAATTATGTGACTCAGAATGCTCTGAGTCAAACTGAATTCATAGGCTACGTGCTGCATCCTCTGATCTCCTTCATGGCCACTTTGCCTCAGTGGAGGGAGTTGAGAGGGTCTAAGTACCCCTCTATCACCTGAACCCAAATCTGGGTCAGTATACTTCAGACGTGGGTTGCTAGGCAGCAGAGGACTAAGAGATGAGGCTGGCAGACCATCCCTGCAGAACTCAGGCCTGCTTTGACCAGGCTACTAGGCAGTGACTAGAGAGGGTTGAGGTCATACAGATTGATAACCCATAGACAGGACTGCCCAGCCACCTCCCACATATGTTCTCCCTTCAGATTGCAGGTTCCTATTCAAAAGTATCCCCAGGATTTTTTTTTTTTAACTCTTAATGAAAATAGGAAGGG